AACTGTCCTGAAGGAAAAGGGACATCCACAGCTAAATCGGGTTGTCCAGGACCTGATCCAGCCTTGCCTTGAAAGTCTCTAGGAACCTCCTCTCATCTTACCTCCGTTCTAGGCAGCCTGTTCCAGTGCCTCACCACCCTCACTGTATGAGATTTTTTCCTTACATCTAACCTAAATCTACCCTCTTTAAGCTTGAAACAATTTCCCCTTATTCTATCATCACAGACTCTGCCAAAGAGTCTGTCCCCATCTTTCCTGTGGCTTCCCTTTATACTGATACTGAAAGGCTGCTCTCAGGTCTCTCTGGAGCCTTCTCTTCTCCGTGCTGAACAGTCCCAGCTCTTTCAGCCTATCCTCACAGGAAAGGTGTTCTATCCCTTATGCCATTTTTGTGGCCCTTTTCTGGACACGCTCCAACAGGTCCATGTCTATCCTGTACTGAGCACTCCTCATCTGGATGCAGTACTCCAGGTGAGGCCTCACCAGAGCAGAGTAGATGGGCAGGATCACCTCCCTCGACCTCCTGGCCAAGTTTCTTTTGATGCAGCTCAAGAGACAGTTCTTTCTGGGCTGCAAGGGCACATCGCTGGCTCATGTCCAGCTTCCCACCTACCAGCTCTCACCCTTCTGGCTCATGTTTGGCTGATTAGATTTTCTTTGTCATACACTCCTTGCAGTCACAGCCCCCAGAAACCACCAGCACTTGGTGAGTTCTGTCAGAACAGCAGCTCACCAGGAAGCAACTCGCAAACTTCATCAGGAATAATGCAGGCAGCAATAACCCTGTGCTCTTACTCTCTGTTCAGAGCAATTTCAGCACTGGTGCATATTTGCATGCAGCTCGTGTTTGGTATTTTATGGCCATATCCTGTGATATCTTGTGATGGCCACCTTCCACCTGATAGACAGACATCACTCCCAGGACAATGCAGGGACCATGGCACATGCCCACTTTCTCCATTTCTTGTTGTTTTTTTTTTTCTTTTTTTTTTCTTTTTTTCTTTTTTTTTTTTTTCCCCCAAGCAAGTAAGATTAATATTTGATGGAGCATTAACACATTTTCTACTGCTCCTGTTATGCTCAGAGCCTGGACTCCTGTCCTGTTCAAATGCAAAGGAGCTGCTGCCACATGCCAGAAGGGTAAGAAGTCCTTCTAAAGATTTGACATTGTATAGAGAGGTCTCATCATCAGCTCTGCTTCCTCGAGGAGGCTTCCCAGCAGGCAGGAAGAGATTTTGCCTTGAGGGCACAGATCCAGTGACTGTCTCTTGGCAGCTTTCCTCACCTGCAGGTCATGTCGGGGTTGTCTGTGTAGCATAGGCAGGCTTTCATTTCAATCAGCTCTCTCATTCACCCACACTACCTGCTTTAAAATAAGCTGTTGTTCCCATAGACAGAGCATCACATGTGTCACAGCCCAATTTTCCATGAAAAGCCCTGTTCTAGGAGCTATGCAAGAGTAAGAGAGAAAGGGGCAGAAGATTTCTGAAGATGGGAAAACAGTCTGTAGAGGAAGGAGAGCAGGGAGACAGATGATAATATCAGCTAATGGACCCCTGCTCCAGTGCTAAGAGGAAAAGCCCAAGGCAGTGAGGAGATGGGCATCCAGGGTGTGCAGCCTAGCAGAGCAGAACAGGTGGACAAGAATGGAACATAGAAGAAACTTTTACACAACAAAGTTGTCTGCTGACAGAAAAGTGTAGCTGCATGTCAAAATGAGACACACAAGCTGAGTAAAGTCACACACAAGCTAAGTAAACCAAACCCAAACAAAGCAGAAGCAGAGACTCTATACTCCTGCTGGAGAAAGGAGCAAAGGGAGGACAAAGCCCTTTCACATACACTCAGTTGTCCTGTCCTCCTCCCACTTCATGACAAAGAATAGTCTGTAGTGGGGAGAAACTGCTCGTGGCTGCTACAGAAAGCACTTGTTAAATTCTCTTGATCGTCTCCCATCTGCAGTCTCCTGGCTGTACAGCACTCAGCCTCAGCTGCCCGTTTTCCCTGTTGACATGGACAGAAAATTGAGCAATTACCCTTAAACTCCTCTCTCTTAGATTGCCCAGATTGCTACATACATGACATTAAGCCCCCAATTGCCCCTGGCTGAAAATGACTCAACTAGGTCTGTCCTCTAGGAATTAAACATTTTTTTGAGGCTTGTGCAAGTTTATTATTCCTCAAGATGTGATGCATTAAATCCTGTTAAGGCAAGTTTTCCACAGTACAGAGGAGCTGGGCTGCACCACAGTTCAGTTGGACACACAACAACCTAACAAAAGAATGTTAGTTATCTACTTGCTGTGACTATGTTCCAACGTGTACCAGTGACTGCTCAGGAGGGTGGGCACTGAGCTCAGAAAAGGAAGGCACTGTAGGAAATCCCAGAATCCATCAGACAACGCACCAGAACTGTTGCTGGAGGGACACTGTACTTTTTCATATCAGTCTTTCCAGCTTGGACTTTTAAAGGAGCAGATGGTGCTTTTAGTGAAACACATTTCTTTGATCCCTATGACTCAAAATTGGCTCCTTTTTAAAATGGCTCTCTTGTCCTGGACTGGCCTCAATGAAGAAGAAATACAGGTTAAATTCTGAGCAAAGCTTGAGCCAAGACACTTCACTACTAATATTTCAGTGAATTATCTTGTGAAGAGTGGATGACTTGCACTTGGGTTTCCCTGTGCAACTGTAAGGAGTGGCTGAAAATGCATACAGTTCCACGTATGATGTCCCCGTTTGGTCCATCTCCCTTCAACATCCCAGGTTACTTCAGTCTTCACACAACCTTCCCACACTCTGAGAACCAGCTGTCCTCTCCCAGACTCCCACATTCTCCACATGCCAAACCATGGATTCTCTCCAGGGCTTGTCATTTTTCAGTGCTTCCCCCAACAGACTCCAAATTCTAAGCCCCTGAGCTTTAGTGCCATACAAACGATTACAGCTGAGCACACTTCAGATACATAAGCTATCTTTTTAAGGGCAGATTGTTTTGTCTTTCATTCTTTTAATAAAAAGGTTGGACAGCGGACAAGCAATGTTAATGGAATGGTACAGCTAAGCTTTCTAATAGGGCAAAGGAAGGTAATACAAATGTATTGGTTGACAGCAGCAATCAGTAGGCAACCGCGCCTGTTCATATTAAGTTGTACAAGCTAACACATTATGCAGCAGAAAATAACCATGACCCATCCTTGGGGATCCATACACCAATGTCTTGATTTAAGTGTGGTTAGAATCTGGGCTTTACTGTTACAGTTAAGGACACAAGCCCTTCACTGTGTGCAAGGGAGGCCAATATGACTCAATTTAAGGCACAACCACAGCATGCCCTCTGCACTGGCCAGCTCTTATGTATCTCTCTGCTTAATTGCAAAAGCATTTTTAACCAGGTTCTGGAGTTTATGTCACCTGTCCTCACTGCAATTGCTGAGTCCACACAGAGAACTGCTTTTCCAGAATCAGTCTGTTTAATCTCCCTGTACCACTAGGACCACTAGCATGCAATGTATTGATCATTCAGAGATTTTCCATATCAGAATTAGATCTACAAACCAGTGTATTTGATTATACTAAAAGCTGCCCAGGTGGGATATGCCAGTAATGTTTGCAGGATCCTTCTTCTAACACATGCATATAGTCCAAGGTTGAATTCTGATTAGCAAATAAGCCAAAACTAACTACAAGCCACAGATTAGGTACAAATAAATAAGTGAAGCGTATTCCAACTTATGATGTCTTCATACCATGTTCTGTATCAATTCCATTCTGTATTTATAGTCCAACATATTCTGTATTTATAACCAAAGCACAAAAAGTCATATGCTGCAAACATGTGGCAAGTTTTTACACCTGCTTAGCAAAGAAAGTTATTATACTCTGAATACAAGACCAAGGTTCAACAAGAAGGACAGCACATATGCAAACAGACAAATAGCTATTCAGAACAGACTATCAGCCTCAGTGATATATCATGAAATTTAAGAAGCCCAAGAAACATCTCAGGGGGGAAATTAAATCTATTCTGAAGATGCCAGTGCTATAAAGGTGCAACTTCAGGCAGTCATATGCTGCTGTGCTTAATCTGTCTGGAAGACCCAAATAAGTCTTCTAATTAGTCTCATTAAACATATTGATGTCTCATCCTTTGTGACTCCAGTAATTTTCTTAATGCTTGGCAATATTTTACAGATGCAACATTTTATACACTGTATAAAATTCTTAGCCCTTGAAAATTGAGGTAGCTCCTAGAGACTTCAATGAGTTTCTATGTCCATGGCCTTCCAGTGTTTGCCTAGGACTTCCTACTATGGATTTTTCCTGGCTTCCTCTTGCCTCAATCAGTCCTATAAATGTAGGTAATATAAACTGTATGGAAAACTAGTAGCAGTAAGTTAGGAGTCCAGTACAATAACCCACCAGAGTAAGTTCAGCTTATGATCTAAGATCTTGCATTAGTGCAAGTGTTTTCCTTAAATAACGAGTTCTCTAATGACAGATGCCTTAAGAAAACTGTGCAAGCACTTGTCCTGATAGGCACAAGATAAATCTTTTATCACAAAACACAAGAGGAGCTTTAAACAGAGCCTGCTATCACCTAAACTAGGGGACAGCAGTGATTTCTATCCCCGCTTTTACCTTTTTATCAGTCTTTTATCTTTCTTCTTTCCCAGTACACTATTATCCCTATGGAGGTAATCACAGAGAAGTGTCCCCATGACACTTTCTTTCTTCCTCGAGGCACTTTATTATTCTGTGTCAATGAAGAGACAGACTTAGACTATAGGTTCATTTCATCATCCTTCTCTCAATCTTCTTTGCTCTCTCTCCTCCATTCAGCAGCTGAGAGACTTAAGCAGCAGCCACATTTGTTTCTCTCCTCGAGCTGATTCATTATCTAGCCATTTCTTACCAGATAGTTGCCTCTGCTCACTTTACTGGATAACCCCCAGACAGGTATGAAGGCAATTCTGGCAGTAAAGTAGATGAAAACATACCTCCTCCCTCACTTGATACCTCCTGGCTCTGCTGTCTGAGACGATGACTGCAACAAAACACAAGGAGAAAAGAATTTCAAATGAAAGCCCAAAGAAGCATCTTCTTGCATCTTCTTCTTCCCCATAAGTCTACAATGCCTCATATCTGCGACAAATACTTAGGTTATTACATATGGTTTAGACAGCAAAGCCTGGCATGAGTCTGCTGGGAAAGCAGACATGTTCTACTTCTTCTTTCTCTCACATGGGAATGACACAGTCACCATAAATTCCATATCCAGGAAACTACAGAGCAACCAGTCCTGACCCATGACCAATGCATGAATTTATGCCAGGCTTTGCATCCACCTCAGATTCCAGATCTTGATGTACAGGAGCTTAGAGAGTTGCATCCCCTTTCTCTATGAAATCAGAACAATGGGAACTTACTCTTCTACTTCTTCTGCATGCTTTTTTCCTGACCTGCAAGACAAGGAAAGGCTTGTGCTTAGAAAAGTCTAGAAAGATATATTAAAGAACATGTATTTCTCTGTATCACTCTTAATGTATAAAACAGTTCCTGCAAACAGGTCTAATATCACACATCACACCTGTAAAGAGTTCTTAGTGACCACTAAACCAAGGCATCAAAAAGTCCTTGAGTGTATCAAGTTAAAGCAGAATCATCTGAATCCCAAAAGATACTCAGGTCCAGATACAGCAAGGAACAGAGTCCCTGTTTTTTTGAGTTTCTCACATACTTTTTTCATACTCTCTGACATCTGTTGTGGGCAAAGCTTGCCTTACCTGGATGCAGAGGTTGGCACATTAAGGAGCAATGAAGAAAGTATAATTTGTCTACCTTCCCTTGAGAGATCAACAGGTTCTCCTAGCCCTTGGTTGTGCTTAAAGATTATGTGGTCGCCTCTGAGGGTTAGGAGCCCCATCTGAGCAGGCCAAGTTCAGGTCAGACATGCTGTCGCTGCAGTAAATCAGGGTTGATCCGCCTGAGTTAACAGAAGTTCATAATAATAATGTGGGGGGGAGGCACTGGCAAATGGCAGCTCCCTTGCTCTCCACCCCAGCAAGCCCAGAAGTAATTCAGTTCCTATTAGGGATGCTTGCTCAATATTCAAAATGTAAAACATGGAGGTTGCTGAACCAGCACTTTGAAAAGTTAATTAAATGCCAGGTTTCTTTTTAGCAGATACTTCATCACTCACTGATTGCTTTGGCCATTTTGCAGAGTGAAGTTTCATCTCTATGCATTAGGAATAAATATTCTCCCCTCTCTCATGTCAGAGCACTATGACAAGAGTACATGGGGCTCTACCCTACCACGTGCGCTGTCCCAGGACACACCAAGATGTGAGAGAGACTGCTGCACTTCACTTTTCAAAGCACTTCCATGAAACAGGCAGACTTCTCATCACTTCTCTCTGATGAGGCCACAGGCCTCACTGAGTCCTCCTGTGAATAGTCCACTCTTCTAAGAGCAAGACAACGTGTAGATATGAGGAGAAGAAATCCTTGTCTTCGTTGCTCTCCTTGGAGCTTGCAGTCTGTGAGAGGCTAAAGATTAGACCCAGTAAGTAATAATAGTCCAATAATACCACTGCTATGGTCAGAGCTACAGCTACATAAGTGACGCCTGCACCTGAGCTTCCAGCAGAAGTACAACGGAGTTGTGAATTTAGGAGAGTTCTTTCAGTGAGAAGTAATTGTCCAGTTAAGTCCTTTTCCCCAGTGATAGTGCAAAACAAACTTTGTGACCCCCTGATGCTACAGAAAGAAAAAGTAATGGATCAGAGCCCACTGCCAACTCACAACAGACTTTGGAAACTGACCAGAGATGAAAAGACGATACAAGATTCATCCCATTTTCTCTCTCTCCCTTCTGCCTTCACAGAACAGCTTCCCACAGCCTGTCTTCAGACCCCTGGCACTTATAGTGGGACCATGTCCTGGAGGTTCTATCTAACCTCTCCTTAGCATGATCCCATTATTCTTGGTAATTGTCCAGCCCCAAATAACCTTTTTTTTTTTCCCTCAGCACTCACGCTTCTTACATTCTTGCTCACTGCCTGTCCCCAGGCAGCAGTGAAACATGTTTATACTTCCCAGGAGAGGGTCACACCTTGCTGTCCCTGCAAGCAATTTCTGTTTCTTTCCCCTGAGCTCCCTCTCCTGATAGATACGCAGGTGGCCCACTGGGAACGCAGTCATATTTAGTCCTAGTGGCAGAGACTATTCTGCTCTTTCTCAGACTTAAAGCTTTCCAGACTTTTCCTGGTTATGTTATAAATGGACTCATTGAAGGCAGTAAGAAAATACACATTCTGAGAGTTCACTTCACTCATCTAGATGACTCCAAATCCGAACGGCTTTGTTGGGGATATCAATACTCTTGCTTAGGTTTAATTTTCTGTCCGCACTTAATACTTCCATAATTTGTACAGTATACTCAGATTCCTACACTTCCAGAAGGTAGTTTCTGCACTCCCTAAACTATCTGCAAGCTTGCCAAGTAGCTTCACTTTGTTATGAAATAATTGCACTGCATTGAAAAAAAACAGTAATGTGGAGAATAAATTAATAAACCAGAAAGGGACAGCAGTACTGCTTGCTATAATGCCAGAGCCTGGATGTTAGAACGCCTTCCTGTCTCTCTAGGGCTAGCTAAAGTCAGTCCAGTCCCCATGCTTCAGGGAACAGAAGTGGCAGTGGAGGAAAGTAACTTATGTCAACAGTACTCTCATTTATACAGAGCATTTAAATACCAATGGAAGCAGAGCAGGAGACAGAAATGACTGCTGTTCTGTTTAGGTGAGACATCTGCTTTCAGTCACCGCACAACAGAGGTTTGTTAATATATGACTTGGAATAGCATCATTTGATGAAACTGGCATTTCAAACCAGCTCATAGGTAGAGAACTATCTGGGATATATGGTATGAAACTTCTGTACGAAATTTCACATTTTACACTCTCTGTGACCTTGATGACTGAGTTAAGGTAAAGAAGATAACAACCAGCTTTCTTTTTTTAAAAGTCCCAAACCCAAAGCCTTCCTTTTATTTTCTTTGATGACGTGTTGCTTTTTAATTCCTTGTTTCAAGCTGGGGAAAAAAAAAAAATCACAAAATATTTTTGGTTTGTTCTCCCGGCTAACTTTCTGCTTTTTTTGGCCGAAATGCATCATCTAAATCTACCTAACAAAGTGACCCAGAGAGAAAGGACAAGCTCTGGCCCATGTCGTGAGGTTAAAAACCATCCAGGCAATAAGCAGAGAAAGTTGTTAATAAATTCTTGAAATGTGTCCTGCCTCCAACCCTGCGCATTTCATAAGGTTGGATAAGGGCTGAGCTACACATGAGACAGTGTGCCTGCAGGACCAGCTACCTGCTTGTCCTTTTGGTCTCCAGGTGCTATCAGCAGCTACTAGAAGCCCTGCAGGCATTCTCTGTAAAGTTACCACACTGCTTAAAGTGGACTGGAGTGCCCATTCCTGAGAACTGGCTCAGATTTATCAATGCCAATTGCAACATGCTGAGACCAACATTTCATCCTTTAAGAATATCATGCCAAGGTGCACAGCATCTCCCTCATCCCTAAGGGCATAACTTTCTAGTAATGAGTGAAAACTGACATGGAAGATAGACTGTAAAGTCAGGTCAGTATAGATAGATTTCCTACTCTTCTCTTGTATTGTCAGCAACAAGTGCATCGCCCTTGTTTCCTGTTTGCTCTAACAGGAGGCAAAGCCCAGGAAGGATAGCAACAAGCATCCATAAAATGAACAGTTGTGCATGAACTACAGAATGGAATGGTTCAGATGGAAGGGACCTTCAAAAATCATGTCTAACTGCCTGACCAATTCAAGGCTAACCAAAAGTTAAAGCAGATTATTAAGGGCGTTATCCAAATGTCTCTTGAACACTGACAGGCATAACCACTTCCAGCCTTTGATCACCTTCATGGTAAATAATTTTTTCCTAACATTTATGCTGAACATCCTCTGGTGCATCTTTGTGCTGCATGGATATACACACTTAAGTAAGGACAAGCAAAACAACACAGTCCCGGGAGCAATGCATAGAAATGCACTGTCTGCTGTATTACACACCAGCGCTCATCAGTTCTTGTGAGAACAATACTTCTGTTTCTCTGATTCTTTCTGATGGGGCAGAAGACCTCCGGCAGACCCCAGTGCATCCTACCACGCAACTTCTGCTATGCACTATCTATTACTCTCCAAGCTGTGCACTGGAGCAGAAGATACAAATGCGATCTCGCTCTGGAGCGTTGCTCAGCCCTAGCCGGCCGGAATCCTGCCTCGTGCTGACGAGAGGGGGCTGAATCTCAGAACCCCCCGCACAGCAGCGCACAGCCCGGCTGAAAGGGAGCTGCCTACAGCCAAGCCCAGAGGTGAAAGGCAACTCTAATGTAGACATCATCTCCGTTAAACTGTTTCTTTCTCGTTTAATGGACTACCACGGAGATCTAAATGGAGATAAAGTAGCAGGGCTCAGAGAACAGCCAGGCTGCTATCTTTATGCAGCATGACAATGTGCAGTGGTTAATTAGACACCGTTAACCTATTTTAGCGACGCACATAACTGGGATGAATGGAGGAAAACGTCCTTGAAATCTCTCCGTGCTCGCAGCTCACGCAGCTCCGCTCACGCCCGCAGCCCGCTCCGGGGGAGGGAGGACCCCCCGCACCCGCCGTGGAGCTGCGGAGCTCCGGCTGGATGGCGGGGGGCGACCGAAGGTCTCCGCCGGGCCACGGCCGCCCTCTGCCGGGCCTCGGCGGCGCGGCGGCCCCGCGGGCCGGGCTGCGGGAGGCGGGTGCGAGGGGACCGGCTGCCAGGGGGCCCCGCAGGGCCGCACGTGGCGAGGTGCTTCGCAGGGCCTGGCAGCTCGTGGAGAGTCTCATCTGCCTGCCTGTTCTCGACACGTCTAAAGCACTTCTCTTTATGATTAAAACCAAACAAACACCGTACGCTCCTGCTCAAGTATTTTGTCTGTGCCCATCACCGCGGTGAGTAGGCGGTGAGCCACGAGCAGCAGCTTGTTCAGCAGCCTGAGGCACAACTCATCACACATCCACTCTGACGCACCAGTGCGAGCGCTCCCAGCTCCCCACGTGTGGGGCTCGGTCACTGCTTGCTCACTGGGGCACAGCGGGTGGAGAACACCCACCACAGCTTCACAGTGCAGAACCGCAGTGGTGCTGGAAGGCGTTACACAACTCGTCCTGACAGCTACCCCGTTTCACCTTCCTTGGGCTTCTGAGCAGTTGTTTGGGTTTCTACCCACCTCTCCCAGGACTGTGGCAGCCTGGAAAAGACTCCTGAAATCAAGATGAACTTTGCCATCAAAACAGCACCCTCACCAGAGCCAGGACTGCAGTGAGCCTTTATTTCTGTCATAGAACACCATCTCACGGCCCTCCACTCCCAAGCCCGGGGGCACAAGGGT